ATGTCGATGTCCGTGGCGGCTAACGAAGGAGCCGACGGAACCACTTGGGTTGGTGAGTTTGCCCAAGAAACTTTCTGCACGAGCGCCAGCCAAGGCATTGGCCTATACACATACAGTACAGCAATGAAGTAATAAAATGAACTAGGATCCCACTAATCCAGCACGTTATTATTCTGAGTTGCCCCACTCAAGTGGCGGACATATTGAGTGGGGCACGTGAGATTAATAACGTGCAGGATTAGTGTTATCCTAGTTGATTTTATTACTTCATTGCTGTGCTGTATGTATATAGGCCAATGTAGTTGGATCACTATGTCCACATGAGAATGTCAGACAGAACAGATTTCAAACAGTATTTCAAACATACAGCAAGATCTCAATCTTAGTTGTGAGTTTATTTTAAACCTAATCATTTCCCACTGAATTTAAAGCAAAAAAAATGTTTTTCTCAAGTCGGGTCTAATGAATTGTATACCAGTTAATGCTGATATCCCTAAAACTGTTCTCAAACATGTGAGAATGCTGCTTTTCTCTCTCCACCTAGGAAAGTTGGTTTTTGGCTGTCATGTTGGCCTTATTGTTTCAGTACCTTGAGTCACTGACTAGAGATGAGCATGCAGTTAAAAAGTTCTGAGTTTACTCTGATCTCTGTTAGAATGATTCAGACAGCCTCCTGGAAGCCATGGTTCCTAGGAGGCCCCTGCCTTCCCATGCACAATGGCCAATGTTGCCCCACCACAACTCCATAAATAAGCAAGCTGAGCGAGTGCTGGATTCCTCTCCTAGTACTAACAGTACTTTCTCTATGGCCTGTAAAAAGTCCAATGTCCGCGCAAGCACAAGAGCGAGTGAGAGTCGAAAATCATTTAATAACGGAGCTTGATCACAATAAGAAAATCTAAAACAGCCAATTTATTTTGGGGTTGCAACTCCCTCCCCCTTCATGGCTCAAAATATTATATGTGGAGGACCCAAAATGGCACACCATCACCACCACCATTAATTATTTAAAGGATAAAACAAGGAAAATACCAAATAGTCAGCTGATGCATTATTCTGTGTCATCTTCCAAATGTTTAATGGTTATTGTGCCATTTTTCGAGTCCTCCTGATTACATACAATTTTTTGCTGAAGGGAGGTTTTTGTACCCCCTAAATGCATCGGAACAAGTATGAACATTCAAACACTTTGGACTCTCACTTGTGCTGATGCTCTCAATAGACTTTTGACATGTAGATTCCAAACTCTGGGTCCCCCAGTTAGGGGTACTCTGTTTGTTCCAAGAGCAGCCTCACTGGAGCTATTGCATTCTATGTGGATGGGATTCACCTTCTTCAGTCATAGCCTATTGAAAGTCAAATCCAATGCCTCAGTCACAGGTTACAGTTTCTCTCTGGCCTGTGTCGGTCTACAGCATTATATGGGTGCACCCATCCAGTGATGGACTATAACCTCACATTTAGTTTACTAATGTGTATTGAAGTTATAGCCTATCACAGGAGTGAGCTTTGAGCAGTGATTGCTTTACACCACACAGAAGGGACCATGGGGAACAACACCAGCCACCCTCCAGAAGGAAGGACAGTGTCGGCACCAATTCAGAGATGATTTGAGGATCTACAGCCCAGTGATACACAAATAAGATATATTTTTGTTAATAGTTTAGGTACTTGAATGCATTTTTAAGATTTTATTTCTGAGTTAAATGTGAGTTCAACTGTGTGGTAGTTGAACTGAATTCAGTCTTGAAAGCAGACTTGAGATTTCAGCTCATTTAGAATAGTTGTACTTTTTTATTATTTGTGATGTTTACTATTGAATGCACCTGGGATTGTGTTTGTTTCAGCAGTTCGAATAACTTCACTTCACATTATGCAAATCATTTTTTGTGAGGACCAATTTTATGATTGCTAATATGAGTAGTGCAAAAATTGTATATGGTCTGGAGAATGTAATAATCCCCTTTAGAAGTAATCCTAAATAGAAAAACATTGACCTTGCCTTGTGAAAGAAATGTAGCTTCAAAAGGGCCACAGCAGTCCCTGGTGTTCCGCCACTTGGGGAGCCCGGAAAGGAAGACATGCACTGGGGCCCCGAGGTTTTTAGTTATGCCTCTGACACAGGGTCATCAAAAAAACAGAACAAGTAAAGGGAGAGGTAAGCTTACTACAATTTCAGTTGATATCCAGATCAGGAATGCCAATCAGATGACCAACTTATCCTTTCAGCTCTACAAATATGCACTCCTAAAAGGAATAAGGGAAATTATTTTTTCGACTTCCCCAGTGTTGGTCTACCTCAAGATAAACTGTAACCAGGTGGAAATTTCTAAACTCTAACCAATCCCAACACGATTAGCCAGGGAATGTTTGTTTTGTGAGGGAAGGCTTGTCTGAAAGCCAGAAATTGGGTCTTTTGTCAGGGCTTTTTTCTCTCATCATTCAGCTACTTATTATCATCTGTGTGGGCTATATGTAGATATTGCAGTGTATTTTTTTCTCTGTTTTGTAAGAAATATCTTCAGAGCTTGTTTTAATAGCTCTGGTGCTGCAGAATTTATTTTATAATCACCTGGGTGAGAATATATATGGGATATCTAATGGTCTGACTGTTTATGATTGGTTATTTTGTAGTTTATGGTAGAAGCTGGAATTATAGTGATGGTATCTGGCCAATTTCCTGTACAATACATAAGGAGGGTTATTTAAAAACAAAACTAGATGGAGCTGCGGAGCATAAGAAATAAATACTTTTTTTTAAATGGTCATCAGTTCCCCCCCAGTGGCCATGATACAGTATTACACCGCAATATATTCTAGTTGAAAAAAAAATATTTTAAGAACTTTAGTGTTTGCCGTTATTTGCAAAAAAAACAACTTCACAGATATTGACAGGGCAAAGGGCCCTAGGAATTGTTTATAAATAGACCCAAAGGTGTGCAGTTTACCATGGGCAACTGTGGTGTCTGAAAAGTTTACGGAATTGTCCATTTTTAATTTGATGGACAAAGTGTGTTAAATAATGAAAGCTTTTATCTGCTGTTCTGTCCATATAATAAAATATATTATTTTGTTTAAACTTTTTTTTACGTTATTGCTGGGAG